GTACAAGCTACTCCTGCAAGAGACATGGAAACTGATCAGACAGATGGGAACAGCGCCATTCATCAGCAAAAAGACAAGGGGGAAGTTTGTAACAAGTCAGGTGATCAGTTGTGCCAAGCAGCCAAAACTAAATGGGAAAAGTAACTCCGGTTCCAAAGGACAGAAGTTAGCAACAGAGCTATAATCATAGCTCTTAACTGATCCTAGACATCTCCCATTCAGGTGGGCTTTGCAATACAGTTCAGGGTGACATTACGGACTAGTAGTTAGAGCAGAGGGCCAGGAAACTGGAGTTCATTGAAAATTGTGGCACTGGGCTGTTGGGTGCCCTTTGAGTCCTCCTGCATTTTCCCACTTCCAAGGATGACAGCTATGGAACAGACAAAGGCATGGGGAGAAGACATCCCAGAATTGTAGGGTACGACTTGAGCATTAAGACGCTGAGAAAATGGTAGAAGAAACTAAAGACAGTAACAAAGTACCTTCTTTTGCCACCTGTCCATTGAGAAAATTCAGTCGGGCATGGTATACGGCTTTCTGGGTGTCGGGGTCTAACGTACTGTGCACAGAATCCAATCCCTTGTAGCTGGAAGGTAAACAAAATGAAACATGCTTTTGAGGTCCCAAGTCAGAATCATCCTCCGTCACTCCCATAATCCTTCCAGACCAGAATTTCCAGCCTGGAAATCTAAGAGACTTCCAGCTTTTCCTGGCCCTTTTATCAAGTTGTTAGTAACTTGCAAATTGTTGCCTCGGAAATAAATGATGCATCCTTTTCCTCTGATCTGCCCGCGATGACCGGAAGACCCAACAGGCTGTTAGAGAAGGGGCAAACTAAACTGCTGATCTGAGGCTAAACTGAACTTCTTTGGTCTGCAGCTCTGGTGAGGGCATCTTTCCTGGCTTTGCCCGCTCAGGAAGATGGAATCTGCTCTTGATTACAGTGATTTTACACCAGCGAAGTTCCAGTCCCTTCCATGGAACTACTCGTGGTGGATACCAAGGCAAGAGGAGAACCAGGCACGGAAAGAACAGCCCTGTTCTTGGTGTTGCCACTTTATTTCCTGCCAGAACTTGAAAGGAAAAAGGCACGTGAAAAATTCCATCTTGAAAAATGCCTGAGCACTCAGCCATGGATTTAAACGTAGCCATTCTTCTACTAAGGAATTTCACCAGCCAAGTACAGAGATTGGTATTCATCTACAGATTTGACACTGTTTCCCTGGGCTTGAACAAAGACATTAACTGGATGTCACATCATAAAGCACACTCTCCTGCCTCTAACAACTGCATTTTTACACCAAAAGTAAGAATGTGACACTCCCTGCCCACTTAATTAGTCTCTTTAGCCCTACCCTACAATTGACAAGTACTTTTTTTAATGTTATAAATATCTTGATTTCTGTTACTTCCACCCCAGCTCATCTGATGAAGTGGGTTTTGCCCATGAAAGCTCATGATGCTATATATTGTTGTTAATCTCTCAGGGCCTGTCTACACCACAAGATTATTTCGAAATAACAAGGTGATGGTCCAAAAAGCAAGTCGGTTATTTCCAAATTATTTCGCAATAACGGGCTTGCTATTTCAAAAGAATGCCTCCTGCTCGTGAACGGAATAATGCTTATTTTGAAATTGTTATTTCCGGAGTTATGATTTCGAAATAACTTATTTCAAAATAAACTTGTAGTGTAGACAAACTACGGTGCCACAGGACTACTCATTCTTCCAAAAGATTCCAGTTCATTCCAAGTTGCAATTGGTGGCTTAAGCTGGTTCTCATTTTATCCGAACGACTTCACCTTTGCCGGTTAACCCATCGTGGACGGCACTGCTTCTTCAGACAGGAGGGGTCATGGAATCACAGAAGATTAGGGTTGGAAGGGACCTCAAGAAGTCATCCACTCTAACATCCTGCCCAAAGCAGGACCAACCCCAAATGCTGTTAGAGTATAGCTAGCGTCTATGGTCAACCAAGGACGATTTCAAAATGCGCTGGGGAACATTTGAAAGGGAGACAGAAGGCAAGTGTGGATGGGGTACAGGGTGGCCCTGGAGATTTCAGGTAACAAAAATCCCATTTCAAGTTTGGTACTTGCTATGGAGATACTAAATGTATCTAGCTCATCTGCCTCACTTTCTTTCCCATCATGCACCATGTTGCTGAGCGGACATATATACTCACATCTCTTGGAAGTCAGTGCAGCCTATTTTTGTTGGGATGAGGCTCAGTATATTTGCATCCGCCACCGGGAGCAGCATCTTCAGTTTAACCTGAAACAAGTCTTTCAAGGAGGGAGAACAGAGATCCGGGAAGCTCTCGTTGACCTTTTTTAGAACCATCTCCAGCACTGAATACATCACTTGGTGGTCAAAGGGCGGCGTCAGGGTCAAGGTTGATAGCTCGTCCAAGTAGCCCTCGAGGTAGCGGACATCGCTGGTGCTGAGGACATGGGTGATGCTGGCAGCCATGCTGCTGTTGGAGAACACGTTGTGAGTGGCTGTCAGCTGTGCTAGTTGGCTGGCTGTGAGGACATCCAGGGCTGCAAACTAGAAATAAATGGGTTGGATTTAAAGCTCTGCATCATGGCATTAGGAGCACATGTAGCTCGCACACCTACTGGGCGTTGGTCACTGTCCCATGAGGTGCCATTGGCACTTAAGCCCACTTACAGAGAGAGAAATGAGTTTGCGCTACAGCCTTAGCTGAATGCCAGCTGTGCTGTGCTATGCTCCAGAGGTTCTAGGTTCAGTTCTGCCCATCAGCGTTACACAAACATTAAGGGTGCGTCTAGACTATAGGGTTTTGTCGCCAAAAACATACCTGCGTCTACACTGCCACTGAGTTCTGTCGACATAACCTCAACAGAACTCAGCCGTTTTGTCGACAGCTGTGAACCTCATTCTACAAGGAACAACGCCTTTTGTCGACAGAGTTCTGTTGACAGAAGGCGTTATTGCATCTACACTGTCATGTCAACAATGCGGCTTGCTTTGTCAACAGAATTGGATGTAGTCTAGACGCTCTTTGTCGACAGAAGCTTTGTCAATAGTATCTGTCGACAAAACTTCTGTCGACAAAAGCCCGTAGTCTAGACGTACCCTAAGTGTTGAACCAATGTGTGAAACAAGAAAAATTCCAGTTTGGTGACTGGCTTGCCAAGAACTAGGATATAAATTTAGGACACGCACTGCCCACTTAGAACCTGAGAACCAGATGACTCCCAGCTTCAGTGGGCTTTGGCTCAGACTTTGGTTAATACAGTCCATAGATAAGCAAAACTCCCATTGACTTTCATATAAAGTGAGAGAGTTGTCAAAAGTGTCTGGGTGCTTTATAGCCATGTAGAAAAAGAAAATTCCGGCTTGGAAGAGTTTAAAATCTAACAGGCATCATATTTAACTTAGGGAGCAGAATTGCAGCATCAAATCCTATTACATGATGGCATTGTTCTATGATAAATTGCATGACACGCTACCGGGTACAAGCAATAGCCTTGATGCACTTTGTAGACATGTGCTTAGTGACCTACTGCAACATTATTATTAATTAAAACTAGAAAGGAATTTTGAAAACCAAAACATGATCCTTCAGATATTGATTCTGGACTCCAAATTTTGCAACCGACCTCATGGTGGAAATAACTAAATGAACGAATCCATTCAAAGTACGTTCTTACCCCATCAAAACCACTCCAGGAAGTAGTGAACGCATTATATGATGCATAGTTTCGGAAATTCTTCCAGTTGCTTAGTATCCACTCTTTTGCTGAGCTTTTTTGGCAAACTAGAGCAACACAGAAAGAAACTCTTATTTCTCTGTGAGCATGGGCGCTGTGTCTCGTTAGCCCATAGAAAAGGGAAACAAAGATTAAAAAAACACTGGGGAGAGGGGAGGGATTACATTTGTGTTGCTGATGAAAGCAGAAGTATTTTTGCTGCACAGATGGTCAAATAATGTTAATCGCAAAAGTGGGCGACTTTTTGTAAATATTATTATTTGATAATTATTCCATTACTCCATTATTTGACCAGCGCATTTTATAATCCTCATTCCTCAGACAAGAGATCTTACATATTCATTTATGCTTCATTAGTCTACACCAGTGTTTCCCACTTTTATTTGGCCACGGAACCCTTTTAAACTCGAAAGAATTTTGAGGAACCCCTAATAACAGCCTAATCTATGGAGCTGAAAAAGTAGACCACAAATAAGTAGGGATAATAATAAACAAAAGTTAAACAAAGTCATGAGATCAATGTTTAGTTTAATTGCACATATTTAAAAACAAAAATCACACAATATTAATTTTTTTTAAAATCATAAAATGTTATTGGAATGGAATTTTCTCATGGGACCTTATTTTCACTTAGCAGAACCCTGGTGTTCCACTGAACACCATTTGGGAAACATTGGTCTACACGGCCTCCAAGATCTCCATGGACGTCAGTGGAGTTTAGCCAGGACTGTGTTTGACTCTACATGCTGATCACTTACCGTGGGCTGTAAGGAATCTCCCAATCCAGTCGGCCACCACTTGCCTTGTGCTGGTGTCCATCTGCGAATACACACTGTCCAGAGCTTGCACGCTAACGAAGGGGATTCAGAAGGGATACCATCAAATGGAGGCCAAATGCTACCTCATCATTTCTATCCTTCTCATCATTCATTCCCTCTCCACCCCCGCATTCTTGGGTAAAAGTCAAACCTTTCACACTATGGATGTCGGATGGAAATTGACCTAAGGACCACACGTGGTCAGCAGACACGTGCTTGTGTTGCTGCCATCTCCATTCTCATTTCCTCCTGCACCCCATTCTGGCCCTTATCCTCTTCCCAGCCTTCCCTTCTCGCGGCTCTCTTTTGCTTCCGTCACCAGCTCCCATCTCGGGAGCAGGTCCCCAGCTGGTATAAACTGTCAAGGCTCCTTGAAGTCCATGGAGAGTTGATCATTTCCACCAGCGGAGGATCTGCTCATGGGCGTCTTCTGACAACTCAGCTTCTGAGGTCATAAAGGGGAGCTGGTAGGGGGCATCTTGATTGGCTGCCATATGACAAAGGGCTGGCCAATGGCGGAGGGGGGGCAAAGAGGGCAGCTGCCCTGGGACCTGACAATTTAAAAGGGCCCACGGATCCTGGTCATCATCACAATGGAAACGGCCGTGGTTGGCGTCCCGGGCCCTTTAAATTGCTGCTGGAGCCCTGGATGGCACAAGCCAAGTAGTGCTGAAGGATGGCAGGGGAGGCTAGCCTCTGGCTCCATCCCTTCCACCCGAGATCATGCCCCTTCTGGGGGCCCTGAGCCAACACTCCCCTACATGGCTCAGGGCTTGGCAACGTCTGATGGCTGCCCAGGTATCCTGAGTCTCCATTGGATCCTCCGCATCTAGGATCCAATGGGTGCACCCCCCTCTTTGGAGGTCTCTCTTGTCGGTCTTTGCTTCTGCCTTAGAGGCACTGAGTAGGCGGCCAAACCTAGACCGCCAGAAGCTTTTGAACGCACCGCAAAATCTTTTGATTGACTTCTTCTTATTGGTGTAAGGTCTGTCATGATCTTTGACCAAGAAATGTGGATTTTGACAAAAAAAATTGATTTCCCTACTTTGGACTGTAGGCCTGTTACGTGACTGATACGCATCCGTCTTGGACAGATCCCTGATGGTTCTCAGAATGGTACATTTCAATAGTGTGTGTGCTAGGCACTCATCTGTCTGTCTGTCTGTATCTATCTATCCATCCCCCTACATCCCCCATCTATCTGTCTATCCATCTGTCCTTCCATCCATCTATCCACCCATCTATCTATCCCCATACACTCCCTCTATCTATCCATCCATTACTATACACCCTTTCTATCATATACTCTATCTATCCATCCATCCATCCATCCATCCCCATACAGCCCCTCTATCCATCCATTACCATACACCCTTTCTGTTTATCATATACACTATCTATCTATCCATCTATCCCCATACTGCCTATCTATCTATTATCTATCCCTGTACACCCACTCTATCTACCCATTACCATACTATCTATCTAGCTATCTATGTAATAACAACACATCATTATCATCACCAACAGCTATCACAATAATTAGTAACAATAAGTGGCAGCAGTACAACCAGCCAGGTTTGTGTAATAACGACGACAGTCTCACAAGGTAAAGTAGCAGCGGTGTTAATCAGCAGCAGCCTCGCATCTGTGCCCTGACCCATAAACAATGAGACTGGACTTACACCGTGGCCAGGCCATCGCAAGTGATGGGGAGCTGGCTCATGCAGTCCAGGAAGTTCTTGTCGATGGCGGTCAGGTAGGCATGCAGCGTCTCCTGGAACCAGGAGGCCAGGAAGCCTGCATTTTGCACTTGGGGTTCAGATTTCAGAACTTCCCACGCCGCATGCAACAGGAAGACTTTGGCGGCTGGTGTGATCTGGTCACTGAGGGTCTGAAAAGAGCAAGTTGAATGCAGAAATCAGAGTGTTTTTAGGGCTATCACACTCCACACAGGAGACTGAATCAGCCCTGCAACACATGCCTGTGTAAGACTGGAAAATGCACATACGCGGCGTGTTATCACATGCAACGTGCACTATGCATGCACATAAGTTGCCTCTTTGTTCCTAACAGCCACCTATTACTATGACCCTGTGTATCAAGAGCGTGTTGCAGAATTGTACCTTAAAAATGTATCTAGGAAACATCTCACAAGATCAGCTTCCTGGAAACATCATAGTGACACGCAAAGAAAAAAGAGTAAAATACGGACGATCTTATGACTGCTGCTCAGCAGCGTGCTCAGGAGGAAGTTGTGCTACATTTTCTCATGCTGCGGCTGTTATTACCTGCACACTGATTTCATTCAGAGCGGTTTGCAGCACTCCTCTGCTGACTTGTTGGAACAGTAAGAGGAATGCCCCTTGGTCCAGGGGGGCTGCAGGGTCCGTGATGTAGCATTGGAGGATGGAGGAGAGCTGGCTAGATGTCAGGTTGGAGCCCTGGGAGAAAGATGAACAATTGAAGAAATCGGCCGGGTACAAACAGAGCCAGGGCCGATTCCTTTGAACGTTGAACACATGGCCCTTCTCCTGTGCCTTTCAGACCAGATTCTCAACATTAGTTACAGGCTTTACTGAAAGCAATGACACCGTTTGCCCACGTTTCCTCAGCCAGGCAGCTGCCATGACAGGAGAGGAACACAGAAGTCTTGACTCCCCGGGCCAAGCTCTGATGCACACCCTCTTCCAGGAGCGACTTCCGAGCAAAGTGGATTCTGGGGCCAACATGTGCGAGGGGGTGGATGTTGTGTGACTATCACCGAAGAGCTGACCAATGCAGCGTGTGAGACCGTGGCACTGGGACTCCTGGACCGGCCTGCCCACTAGACCAGCAGAGCGGACTTACCGACGCACACGCGTGCTGCGGGAGTGTGAACTGGCACCTGTCGCCGCTCGCCAGACTAGCGTTTAGAGCCGTACTGGAAAGGAAACAACAGTCCTGTCAAACTGGCATCATAGAAGTGGCTTGTTACAGGCTGGATTCAAGGCCTGGCTAAGTCCATGGAAAGTCTCCGACTGACTTCAGTGGCCATGGGCCCAGGCCTGCTGTACCGACTGGGGGCACCAACAGCAGGTACCGACGTACACAAGTTTACAGTACAGCATGGGGGAGGAGTCTGTGAGCTCTAGTACGGAAGCTTGCTGTCGACCTTATTAAAGAACTAAAAATGAGGGATTTCATAAATTGGGTGACAGTCCCAGATCCAGGAAGGCCGTTAAGCTCCGCCTCTTCCCCACCCACTGCTTAATACACCAGCGTGTTTATTCCTTCCCTGGGTCTAGAAGGATTTAATGGGATTCCCCCTTTGCCTCCTTGGCATGGAAAATCTGATTTCCAATCAGTGGCACACAATGAATTTTATTTCCTTCTCCCTTAGGCCACGGTAAGGCACAAGCGGGGCCTTAGAGACCAACGTAAATGAGACCAGAATCAGGCCCACTGACATAATGGTCTTTCCATCCTTTGACAGGTCCTGAGTATTTCAGGCCTAATTGTGGTTTTTGAATACCCAGGGGCTCTCAATGGAAGCAAATTCGCTCTGCCTCCCATCCGAAATGTGTAGAATAACGACTCCTGTTGGCACATACCTGTTAACATGGGAACAGTAGGTGGGAGCTGTGGAAAGACAAGGAGAACAAAAGTTGGCCTCCTGAAGTAGGACATGGTTTTAATATCGTCATTTGAGGTGAGATGCAAATGCTGAGTAGGAGGAAAAAGGCTCTATTGGTAGAGCCAACAACCGTCTGCAGGGAGGAATTGAACCTGCAACCTTAGGGACTAAAGCCATGTGCCTCTGCAGCAGTGGTTCCCAAACTTTTTGGCATCACGCCCCCTTTTTGATTTTTGAGAATCTCTCATGCCTCCCCCCCCATAGCAGCAAAACAAAAAAAAGGAACTGACAGGGGCCAAAAACCAAAAAGAGCAGCACAACTTGGGGTGGGGGGAGGAATTTGAGGAGGGAGGCTGGGTTGCCTCGCGCCCTTTCTTCACGCCCCCCAGTTTGCGAACCCATGCTCTACAGCATGAGCTAAAAGCCAACTGCTTCTCAGGCTACATCGACCCCAGGAAGGTTTGGCAAACAAAGTGCTGTCAAGATGCAAAAGTCTCCGTAAGTTTTTCTGCCTCCCTTTGTTGATATTTCGTGGCCATATTGCTTACTCCCCTGCAGACAGAGAGAGCAAAGCATTGTGGGGAAGCATCCTGCGGTGCGGCACTGTGGGATGGCAGAGCTGATCCCTGTGCTCCTTGGGATTCTCTCCGAGTTCTCGTACAGCATCCTCAGCTGCTGGGAACAGCATCATGAGTAGCTGTGTGAGCTCTCCGTGCTGAGGAATGTCGGAGCAGCACAGTTGTCTCTCCAGCCTTCCCCCTGCAGCAGCAGCCGGCCTGCCGCTGGGTTCCTAGCAGGGCAGAACAGGAGCATCCCAATGACTTGCTCTTTTTCTTTGTTCCCCAAATGGAGCAGCTCCCTCAGCTGTCAGATGCTTCCCAGAGCTTTGAAAGGGGGGAGGGGCGCATGCCAGCATGGCAGCAGAGATCACAAAACACTGAGCAGAGCCATCAGGACAGGCATTGTGGGATACTGGCGGAAGCCAGTTCTCTGCACAAACCAAATAGCAGAATCCACACTGGCTCTTTGTCGACAATAAAGGAAGCTGGAAGTTTTTATTGCATAACTGGGTGTTCTTCCCAACAGAAGTCCCAGTGCAGCGTCAACGCTCTCACTGTTTAGTCACCAAAAGGCAGTTTTGGACGACAAAACATGCCAGTGTAGATGAGGCCTCAGTAAATGCTGCAGAGCAGACTTCTCCCTCCCGTGTCAGTGTCTCTGGGTTATATCACATACTTGAGAATCTCTCAATTGAACTTCTCCATGTGTATGTTCTATTCACGTTGCACCGACAATTACATTTATTTAGGGGGCATCCGTCTTCAGTGCAGGTGAAAAGTGCTGGGCTGTGAGTTCTGAAGCTTGGAGGCCTCTGTGAAAACTCAGAGGGTGAAATTCTACCTTATGTAAGCACGAGACCTATGAACCCCTAAATAGGCCCTTGAAATAAGTGATGGATGAACCCTATTCTTATTCTCCGCATTGGGCTGAATTTCATCCAGCGTATGCATTGTGCGGGCAGCAATTATACAAGTTTCTTCCAGACTGGCCCACCTGTTTGCCCCAGTCCTGCCCCATCTTGGCTGAGATTGCCTACCTGGGATGTTTTACTAAAACAAAATAATCTCTACTTACAGACAGGGAGCGCCGGGCACTGGTAAAAGGAGAGAGAAAAAGTGCTGGTTAGAGTATTAACACGGATCACAGCTGATCCTTTGAACACCATGGACAGAATTAGCTCAGAATGGCTCATTAGGGAGCAGGGAACGATAATCTCATTGCAGGCTGAGTCAGGCGTATTGTATTGATAAGAGCGAAAGATACTCTGCCTGAGACCCACTGAGGGCATTTGGTTTGTCTCTCTACCCCGATCCCGAGCTGGGGAAAATCAGTTTAGTTCCATTCCCGTTAGTGGGGCCACGATTCACTCCAATGGAGAGATCTTGCATTAAGGAAGAAAATATTGAAAATGGCAATTCAGGCTGTCCATGCATCGCAGCGGACTCACTGGATTAACTCAGAAAAGTTTGTTGACATGGTTTTGACCCACGAACGCTGATGCCAAAACAATCGTCTTTAAGGTGCCCCAGGATTCCTCGTTGTTTTTGTAGTTACAGACTAACGTGGCTTACTGCTCCGAGATTAAGACAAACAAGTTTGTGTACATTGATGGGAGATACCACTTCCTGCTTCTTATTTATAATGTCACCCGAAAGTGAGAACAGGCGTTCCCATTGCACTTTTGTAGCCAGCATTGCAAGGTATTTACATGATGTGCCCCTGCATGCTTCACCCACCATTCCAGCGGCCACCCTTCCAACCTGATGGTGCTTATTAAAAATATGCTCAGTATGTTTTGACTGTACTCCTTGGGGGAGAATTGTATGTCTCTTGTTCTGTTCTACCCGCATCCTGTAAATTTCATGTATATTTCAGTCCTGGATGATGACCCAACCCGTGTTCCTTTTAAGAACACTTTGGGCACATCAAAAAATGAGGTTTACAGGTTCTTCCAAAAAAGGGTTGGGTTTTTTTTTGTGAAAAAGCCATGTCCAGACTGCATTTTTTGGCGAAAAAAACTCTTGTGCAAAAAGGGTCGGAAGGGAATATGCCTGCAGGCCCTGATTGGCATGAGGGCAGGGGAGTGTGTGAAGTCTTTGCCCCCCGGCCCTACCCTGCCAGGGGCACACAGCGCCTAGAGAGAACCACAGCTGGTGCTGCGTGCCCCTGGCAGCGGGGAGGAGACTTTGTGCACTCCTCCATCCCCAGGTCTTGATTGGCTTGGGGGTAGGGAAGTGGAAGAGCAGCCACAGGCTGGATCAAAGGGCTTGGCAGGCTGGTGCCAGCCCACAGAAGCTGTCTTGCCCACCCCTGTTGCAATGCCTACTACAACAGTATCATGCAAACGCCTGTTTTCTCTTTCAGGTGATACTGTAAACGAGAAGCAGGCAGCATTATTTCCTGCAAATTGTAACCAAACTTGCTTGTCTGAATAATTGGCTGGACGAACATAGGACTGAGTGGACTTGTAAATGCTAAAGTTTTATTTTTGAATGCAGTTATTTTTCTACACAATTCTACATTTGTAAGTTTGTCTTTCATGATAAAGAGCTTGCCCTGTAGTCCTGGTATGAGTTGAATACTTTTGTTTTTATCATTTTACAGTGAACATATTTGTAATAAAAATAATATAAAGGGAGCACGGTACACTTTGTATTCTGTGTTGCAATTGAAATCAGTATATTTGTAAATGTATGAAACATACATAAATATTTAAAATAAATGGTATTCTATTATTGTTTAACAGCATGACTAATCATGATTAATTATTTTAAGCACTTGACAGCCTTAATTACAATGTAACCATCCAGATCCCTGCAGCTATTTTAAGTGCCGCTAGCAGTTCAAATAAAAACCAACCAAACAAAAAAACGGCAATTGATGATTTCACGTACGTACCAGATTTAAACCTTCTATAGGGTGACCTAAAAGAAACGCAAATGAGATCGTTAAACTGATGGAAACAAGCTTATTTTCTCTGACCCCAACACAAAACCTGACCACCCACATGAAACAGAAATGGAAGCAGGTGGCTTTGAAGTTCTTTTTTTCAGATTTTTTTAAACACGAAAATAACGACAGTGATAATGAGTGTCAGAGGCGATTCACTTTTCACGAGTTGCTGCTGTGATTCTCATTTTCTCGTCTCAGAAGGATGATAAATACTCGAATCCTCTAACTAAGCATAATCATAACAATTTGCTTTGCCGGATATGGAGTGACACGGACTCAAACATCTTCCCTGCGTTGGGAACTGGACAGCAGCTAAGATGGTTTGTTATGACAGGTCCCGACTGCATGCACAGTTACAGGGGAGATTAAATTACTAGCCATGCATTATAGCTGTGTAGTCTAAATAACTTACCTGAAATTAGTATAATTACAAGGGCAGCTAAAATGGATGATCCTTCTTTTCCCTTCATAGTTTTTCTTTCTCCTACCTGGACCTTCTATTCAGGCCTGGAAGGAAAATATATTACCAGTTTGTGAGTCTTCCTTAGTCAACCCTGCTAAATTCCTGCCATTCCCCCTGCGGCCATGGGGCCGGACTGTTTGCATATCATAGAATTACAAAATTGGAAGGGACCTCGAGAGGTCATCAAGTCCAGTCCCCTGCCTTCACAGCAGGACCAAGCACCGTCTAGATCATCCCTGACAGGTGTCTGTCCAACCTGCTCTGAAATATCTCCGGAGATGGAGATTCCACAACCTCCCCAGGCAACTTATTCCAGTGTTTTACCAGCCTGACAGGTAGGAAGTTTTTCCTCATGTCCAACCTAAACCTCCCTGGCTACAGTTTAAGCCCCTTGCTTCTTGTCCGATGCTCAGAGACCAAGGAGAACAATTTTTCTCCCTCCTCCTTGTAACTCCTGCTAACATGGGAGCTTTGGATCTATCTCCAGATCTAAGCTCATTTCGCCTCCATGTTTAATTTGCCATGCTATCTCCTCTGCCTTCTTTCCACCGTTACCTGTTCTTGCTCTTACAAATGCTGTGAAACTAAGCCTTTATGACAGGGACCAGCTAGTGTTGGGGTAACACATCTTGACCTCCTTTGCTTTGGAAGTAGCTCTTTGGGGGGTGGTCCCCTTCCAACATTTCCGAGGTCATGATGGCGGGGGAGGGGAGGCATGTAAAACTCGCTTCTCCATTAGGGAAGTCCCAAGGTGGAGGAGGAGGCAGACACCAATTTTTGCGCAAAACAGGGTCAAAATCAAATGTCTCACTACAGAAGGGACAGAAAAAGCTCTGTCAGGGTGCTGTCTAAACCCCTAATTAATCCCACCCGCTGGAAGTCATCACCTGCTGGAAGCCCCACCTCCTACCCCGCCCCTTCTCTGAGGCCCCGCCCCGGCCACGCCCCTTCTCTGAGGCCCCACCCTGCCACGCCCCTACTCTGAGGCCCCACCTCCTGCCCATTCCATCCCCTCTCCTTCCCCCATCCTCGCTTACCAGGCTGGGGCAGGGGGTGAAGGCTCTGGTCTTGGGTCGAGGAGTTCAGCGTGTGGGAGGGGTTCTGAGCCGAGCCTGGGGGAGGGGATGGGCCTGCAGGAAGGGATTCAGGGTGCAGGCTCTGAGAGGGAGGTTCCAGGCTGGGGCAGGGGTTGGGGATGTGGGTTCCGACTGGACACGACTTACCTCAGGTGGCTCCAGGGCAGTGGTGCAATGGGGCTAAAACAGGCGCCTCCCCCCCGGCCCTGTGCCACTCCCGCAAGCAGCCGGCATGTCCACTAGCGGCTCCTGGGGAGGAGGGGCAGGTGGCTCCTTGCACAGCTCCCCTTCCATAGGCACCACCCCCACAACTCCCATTGGTCAAGGTTCCCCATTCCCGGCCAATGGGAGCTGCAGAGGCTGTGCCTATGGGCAAGGGCAGCATGTGGACAGCCCCAGGGACATGCCAGCTGCAAGAGCTTCCAGATCTAGCCCAATTCCAGGAGACTCACAGCCGGCATTTTGCACAGGGATGGAAAAAATTGGAGGGAATGAATTTTGTTCTGTGCAACGATATTGCGGTAATGTGCGGATGCGCACCACCCACGGAACCCAAAAGCCTAGCTATATACTTGGAAATGTCCCCATAGGGATGACGACTCTGGCCACGGCCAGTTCGGTATTTTAGCACTCCCTTGCTCAAAGAATTAAATTGATGCATCAGAGGGAAATGAGACATTATGGGCAGCACAGACCACTCAAAACCCCAGCACAACCCGCTTAGAAAGCAGGAAAAGAAACACCACCAACCTCACAAGCACGTGCTGGGTTGTGAGGTGAGTGCGGCAGACAGAGTGTGTTTGTGCGAGTGACTGACACACACACCGTGCCGGGGAGTGGCAGAGGTTTGCACTGCCCCTTGTTTGCCTCAGCACCTCATCATTCAGCGTTAAGCAGGTACACTTTCTCTGCAATGCATCTCAGGGCTGTTACCCCGCCTCCATCCCACCAGAGCAAATCTCTCTGGTTTTTCGATGAGCGTATTGCCTCTGTAGGCATGACACTACCGGCGTAAGTTGCAGCCCAGGCTAGCCCATCATGTGTGCAATTGTCTGGAGCAAAGCCTAATGGGCAGCAGGTTTAAAACAAATAAAAGGAAGTTCTTCTTCACACAGCACATAGTCAACCTGTGGAACTCCTTGCCTGAGGAGGCTGTGAAGGTTAGGACTATAACAGGGTTTAAAAGAGAACTGGATGGACCTTTGGTCTGACCCGATGTGGCCATCCTTATGTTCTTAAAATCCCTCCTGTCCAAGAGTTTCGTGCATTGTACAATGACAATTTTCCCTTCCTCTCTCTCCCTTTTGCAGTGGTTTCCTCCTGGTTTTGTCACGAGAGTCTCTAAGCACCCAGCCTGTGTTAAATCCTGAACGGAGTATCTCATACAGTCTGTACGCACGGCCAGTCGTGAAAACGCCTCCTTAGTCACCATTTGAGAACCACGATTCTAACACCCCTC